TGGACAGTACTTGACACATTATCAGTACCATTTGCATACTAGCTATTATCATTACTATATTCTTCAGTTTGCCTCAAAAGTGTTATAGCCTCATTGAGATAAGCAATATGGCAAAATGGATACAAATTCAGTTTTTTGGTGTTTTTATTAAAGACATCATTTATTTTTTGTTAATCCTCATCTGAGGATATTTTTCCCATTGATTTTTAGGGAGTGTAGGAGAGAGAGGGAAACAGAAACATCAATGTGAGAGAAACACATCAATTGGTTGCCTCCTGCATGAGCCCCGACCAGGGCCCGAGCCTGGGAGAAGCCTGCAACCAAGGTATGTGCCCTTGACCAAAATGAAACCTGGAACCCTTTGGTCCACAGGCCAACGCTCTATCCACTGAGCCAAACTGTCTAGGGCCATATTAAGTTCTTTAAAAATAAAAACGTTTTTATTGATTTTAGAGAGAGAGAGGAAGAGAGAGAAACATTGATCAGCTGCCTACTGCACATCCCCTCCCCACCCCCCCAACAAGTTGAGCCACACCTGCCAGGGCCAAATTCTGTTCTTGAGTAAGGAAATGTTTGCAGATGGAGCCTGGAAGTATGAGAAAGAAAAAAAATGGAAGCTCTTCCCACCTGCCCCAGACTAGTCCCAGAAGTCAGTGAGATTCCCATTTGTTTTCAGACAAATATAGGAGTGCAAACGAAGCAGCAGGCCGAACAACAGAGGCTAAGGTTGATTCCCAAATCAGCTAAGTGCAGTTTTTTCCAAATTCAGCCTTCTAAGTAATTGCTGTTTCCCATCCAACCAGACAGGGGCGCTGAGTTGAAAGGCTTGCTCGGCAATAGCGATAACCTTTTCCCATCAACCCAAACATTTTTCATGCATTATCTCATATTACCCTCATAATAAAACCCTTCAAAGTAGGTAATTTTATTCCCATTTATGTACAACAAATCTGAAGCTTAGAGAAGCTAAGCAACTTGCCCAGCAGGCCATTCCTAATATTTGTGGGACTGGGTCGAGAGTACAAAAGGAAGCATACTTAACAATTATAAATGGAGCTAATAAAATGTGAAATAAAATACTGCCTATTCTGCTACCTTGACAAATAAACCTTCACAATGAGCTGGAAGGCCACATTCAAATTTCTGAGTCTCATGGAACTCTGTACTAGAAGACAGTGGAGAACCGGGCAGAGCAGGACCCTAGCCCCGGCCCCTTCTCGTCATCTCCCTAAATATTTCCCTGCAAGGGGCCTCGTGCACATGCAAGCAGATGTCCTAACCTGTATGCCCACGTTCTGTAACTAGAGTTTCTAAACTGGAAGGGTCCATTAGGTATCTGCCACAAAAAGACAGAGCCACAAACATCCTCACATGTCAGAATACTAGGTTACCAAGAGAAGGTCTTAAAAGCTTCTAGAAAGGAACTGAGGGGAAACCCAGACAAAGAACCAGGAATCAGAATAACATCATACTTCTCAAAGCTAGAAGAAAACAGAGAAATCTCTTCAAAATTCGTAGAGAATTGAATCCTCAGTCAAATTACCAAATAAACATGAGAAGGAAGGCATTTTTAGTAGTCACTTAACATGTATGGTAGTGTGGTAGCCACCTCTAAGGTGGCCTCTGGTGAGTTCTACCTCCTGGTGTCCACACCCTTCGGTGGTTCCCTCACACCTTGAGTATGGCTGACCTGTGGGACCATGGGATACTGCAGAATCGCCAGGACGTGACTTCTAAGGCTAGGCCATAAAAGACATTGTGGCTTCTACCTTGCTCTCTCTTGTGTCCCTTGCTCTGCTGAAAGCCAGCCGCCATGTCCTGAGGACACGCAAGCAGTCCCAAGGAGAGGTTCATTTAGCAAGGAACTGAGGCCTCTTGCCAAGGGCCTGCTCCAATGCCAGCCATGTCGGTGCACCATCCTGGAAGTGGATCCTCCAGCCCCCGTCAAAGTCTCAGAAGACTTCAGGCTCATGAGAGAACAGAGCCAGAACCACCCAACTAAGCCAGAAATTGTGAGAGAGATGTTTTAAGCCATTAAATTTGGAAGTAATTTGTTACACAACAAAAGATAACTCGGGCACAGCCAGCATGGTTCAGTGGTTGAGCGTCAATCTATGAACCAGGGTACATGCCTGGTTGTGGGCTCGATCCCCAGTGTGGACGTGCAAGAGGTAGCCGATCAATGATTCTTTCTCATCATTGATGTTTCTATCTCTCTCTCCCTCTCCCTTCCTGTCTGGAAAAAAATATATATATATATATGTATATATATATATTTTTTTTTTTTCAAGAGAACTCGGGTATACTGGGGTGGGGAAGCCACAGTGTTTTGCAGTTCTTCCACTCAAAAGGTGAAGTCTATCCACCCTTCAATTTGGATTTCGCCAATGAAACTGGTTTTGTCTGAAGGGACATTAGCAAAAATTACAGAAGCCGAGAGTTAAAAAGTGCTTGTGCAATTGGATCTTCCCTCTCTTGCTCCTGGAACTCTACAACTGCTGCCATATGACTAAGCTCGGGTAGCCTGCTGGAGACATGTGGCCCATCACCGCAGGTGACAGCCAATATCAACTGGCTATGCGAGTGAGGCCATTCCAAACTACCTAGCCCAAGCCAACTGGCTCAGAAAAGAACTTCCCAGGCAATCTACAGAATCGTGAGAAAGAAGAAATGCTTGTTGTTTAAAGCTTTTAAGTTTTGGGGTGATTTGTTACACAGCATAAACTAATTGATACAACATATTTACTTCCTGCTAATCTTTCCTTTCGGGGAAACTATAGGAGGTGCTCAAAGCCTGGTTAGTTCCTCAACTTATCTGGTTTTGAGCAAGTTAATTCACCTGTTTCAGCCTCAGTTTTCCTCATCTTCAGGTGGGAGATGACAGTGGGTAACACTACCTATCTCTTAGAGTTAGCATTCATCTCCAGGGCTTATGTGACAGATGACTGAGATGAACTACAGAATGTGCGTAGTAGCACAAGGCCTGACCCATCATGCTCAATAAATGGGTAAAGGATGACAATGATGCAAATGACAAAGAAGCCAAAGGGAGAAGTCCTCAGTAAGGCCTGTGTTAGTCCTGCGGGGGCCACAATATTTCCAAAGAAAGGCCACGGAGTGTATCATTCAATTAGACATTTACCAACCCCCTTGCCTGAAACTGTGACGTGAAAGCAGGGATAATCCATGACACTGAGCTAAGCTGAGCCAGAGCCAAGTTTGCCTGTTTCACAAGGAACTGAACTGGGGCATCACAGTATTTCTGAATGGAACTCGACCATCTGGATATTTTGTCTGTATGCTCCAACCTCATCTTGTCTGTACGCTCCAGATCCCGAAGGGAAGAGCAGGGGGAATCCAGACCATCCCATCACTCTCTCCATCCTGTCCTTTCACCCCCGCCAAGGGGTGAGAACACATTCTATCCTGAAACCCAAATCACTTCAACTCTAAACGGTGGCTTTCAGTTATTTTGACTTCAGTCCACAATATGAAACACATGTTTAGGCTGCACCTGGTGCACAAACCCAAAACTGAAACAAAGTTCCATGAATTGGGACTTCAAAACGTGTGATACGTTCTGACTTCCTTATTATATTCTGGTCAGATTCCGCTAAACAAGCGGTTCTCAACCTGTGGGTCGCGACCCCTTTGGGGGTCGAACGACCCTTTCACAGGGGTCTCCTAAGACCATCGGAGAACACATATATAATTACATATTGTTTTTGTGATTAATCACTATGCTTTAATTATGTTCAATTTGTAACAATGAAATTGGGGGTCACCACAATATGAGGAACTGTATTAAAGGGTCGGCATTAGGAAGGTTGAGAACCACTGCAACGGACTTGAAACCTTCACATGGGCGGCAGGCAGCCCTGTGAGGAACTGCTCTTAACTGTCACCGGGGAGGGACTGCAGGCTCCTCTAGTCCAGTCGGGGCGCTCACCGGGTGAAGTGGGGCCCTGAACCCGAGGCCTCCCTGCTGGTGAGCGGCCGCGCGGGGATGTGAAGGAAGATCCGACTCCGCTCCCGAATGCCTCCCGCGTGCCCGCCCCCGGGCCGGGTTCTTCTAAGGGCGCTGTTTCGCCGAGTACTCACTGCGATCCTCGGAACGGAGATCCTCATCCCCCTGACAGCCGAGGACCGAGTCTCAGGACGGGGAAAACGACCTGCTCCGGGGAGTGTCACGCCGTCAGGCGCCGGCTCCGGCCTGGTCTTCAGGTCCGG